ATATATATAGAATAGGATACATGAATTTGTCGTCATCGAAAAATTTTATCTCATGAAAAAAAGTAGTAGCACTTTAATCCAATAAGAAAAGAAAGCAATAGTATGGATCAAAATAGTGACAGTTTTTGGTGGATTTTGTAATAACATATCATCTAAATGGTGACAGTTTTTGGTGGGATTTGTAATAACATATCTAATCAAGGGAAATATTGATACCTCAATTGAGATTAATCCAATTAAATTATTCTGCCTTCTTTGTGCTGAATTTTACTATTGAGTAAACTTCAAAAAAAAAAATCAGCTTGATATCTAATGTAAAATCAATGGCCATTGGTAATATTAGTCCTTTTTGCAAGCTTTTTTTTTTGTTTTAATTTGCATTTACAGTTGTTTATCAAGAAGAAAATGGGGGAACTATTAGGATAGGGTTTAAGATGCAGAAGTGGACCACGAGACGAGCCCTTGGGCCGGCGATGCACGTGGCTAGGGTGTGGTCGGACCCTCCACTTGTCCCCTCTTCGACCCAGTCCATGTCGGACCCATTTTGGCCCACGCAGGTCCCACTTTCAAGGAGCCAACAAATAATTTTCTTTTTTCTTCCCAATTTTATTGGTACAACTGTTAACAAGTTTTTTTTTTTTCACTTTAAATGTGACACTGTGTGTGTCTCGTTGTTACCTTTTTTTTTTGTTATGACCTCTTTTTTTATAACATTGGTGGGGGTTTACACAATTTAAAAATTGCTTCGTTTGATAAAGAAACAAAAAAGGTTTCCAAAACGCACGAGTCATGATAATAAAGCTAGTTATTAAATTACCTATAGACGATCGATGACTACAATTGTCATTATTTTCCATATAGTAATATACAGTATTATGTGTAAGCATTTAACCATATTAGGGAGTATTGAGTTACTAATCACCATTACCAGATTTTATATCCAAGGTTTGTAATGTGCTTACAGATGATGAAATATCTACGAGTTTCTATGATTAGATATGTACCCGTCCGAAACTCGTTATGGATATCTCAGCGGAACCACATGCATATAATTCAAAATTGATCGTTTGTACGTTGTATAGATGTGTAGTTAATTAAATGTTTGTAACTATTAAATAATAGTTAGACGTATAGTGGCGTGGACATGCATTTTTAGAAGAGAGAAAAAGTTAGACGTGTAATGGCATAGACATAATTTTTCAAAAGAATGAGAAGTCGTGCTCTCCTAATTTGCGTGTTGTGTGAAATGAAATGTTTCAAAAACTGATAAAGTATGAGTTTGGGTCCAAAATTTCCTTACAAAAAAAGTTAGCCGTATAATGATATTTGAAGTGTGTAAACACATGTTATATTTCTATTTTTCATGCATGCATTGTTTTTTTTCCCCCCTTCTATCGATTTTAACACAAGTCCAAAATGTTACAAAACTGGACGATCCAAAATAGCTGAAATAAAATATGCATTCACACAAGAATTATACGCGTTAATTATCATATGCAAACTTAGAAATGTGTTTAACAAACTAGATTGAATTTAATAAGTGTAGTAATCATATGATTAATAATATACAATAGACAATTAGTTTGGTAGAATTCACCAAACAAAGCTTAATCCAAGGTTAATTGTGGGAAAACCACCACACATACCCAATTTATTCGTGACACTCAACATCGAACTTTTAATTCTTTGTTTTTTGTTTAATAAATCAAAACTTTAGTTCTATGTATTGTCAGAAACTTTGCTTTAATGCGCTATTATTAACGTTATTATGATTGTGTATATGTGGCCCCAAAGCCAAAGCATTCGTAGCCACTATTTGCAAATCTTAAGCTACCTTCCAAAAACATATCATGCCTAAACTGCCCCTTGCATCAAGGTCTCTAAACCCACTTGGACGGTAGATGTCTCATTCAACTATATTGCAATCCAAATTATTGATCGTGGGTATTTACATTTTCACAAAACTTTATATCTAGATTTCGTAAAAAGTAACTAGCTTGCTAATTAAAAACATGTAAAATGATTACAGAGTTCGTGTAATTTTGAATAGTGCATGAGTTTAGAAGATTATGATGTATATACTTATGAAAACTAGAATAGAAAATGATATGATACGATTTACATGAAAAGTAGTAGTAATATACTAACTGAACATTTTTATTTATTTATTAAAATAACTAAATATATCAACTGTGAGTAAATGTAAGGTTGGAATGGATGATAAAAAAAGAAACATATTGATAGAAAATTGAAAATTCGACTATTCCGCATATTGATAGAAGATCAAATAATGTAATGACTATTGCAGATAACTATAAATCACCACCGATCACACTTAAGGACAAAATATCAAAGTTCGATCTGACTTTGACTTTATCTGACAATAATCACGTTTCTGCAGAGAGATAAAGATTGGCTCTACAGAAACTCAAAAGGCAAACTTTATGAAGTTTCGGACAAAACCATTTATTGCATTCTTACTTCTTTTTCCGCAAAATCATCTCTTTTCACCTATTCGTCTATTACTCTGCGAAAGTTCCAGATATGTTGGATCAAATAAGTATTTATCATACGTGAGTACTGCCTAAACAAATGAACAAATTTCAACGGTAGACTAGATATATAGTCCGATTTTACATATACTTATCTTTTCATGATTTTCACACGTAAAGAAAATCTCAATATTATATTATGGAAGAACCCACATTTCTGTATTTTGACTCCAATAATTTGTAGTAACAAATTTTACAACTTATCAACAATATTATAATAGTATATGGATTTATATTCGAAGGGTGACACTATCATAAACCATTATATCATGATAATTCACTGTAACAAAATTGTACTTTGAAACACTAGCTCACACTTTAGATCCAGCCATCTCTTATCAGTGCTTCTTATGCACGGGAGACAAATTACATGATCTCAAAGACTCAAACTAATCAAGATGGATTAGATTAATCAAGTTGAGTTTTAATTTATACGTGAATTAAATTAATCAAGTTGAGTTTTATGGTTTTATGATACGTAACGATTAACAAGCCAAACTCCACCTAATCTCCGTCAACAAATACAGCGAGAAGACAACATCAGGCAATAGAAATTCGAGAAATTGTAATTACCAAATTATATGATAAATAAAAATAAACCAAACATAAAC